TACGCTTTCCCTGTGTCCTCATTGTGCCTCTTGAATATTATCTCTTATTTGTATATTACCTTCCTTAACTATTCTCCCTCCGCCATCCCCTCTATTATTATTACCCATTACCCAATCCCCCTCCCCTCCCTCCACCGATCCCTCCCTCGCCAGTTATCCTTTCCATTAATCCCATACCTTTCCACACTAACCTTCCCTTACACCAATTCTCCTTTCAGCCGATCCTACTGCTGCCGCTCACCACATGCAGTACCTCACCTTCAATCTTACGTTCCCGTTTCTCTTCTTCCCCCTTCCTGGCGTGCCTTTTACTATGCCCCTTCTTTTCTCCTCTTTTACCGCTTTCTTTCTTAATCTTGTTTTGGCTTTTGGTCCTTGATTTCCACGTTTCGACTACATCGCACTGTCGTTATTTTTTTTTGCTTCCTCATCACGTGACGCTCTCATTCTCTCACATACTCGCCTCTCTTCCCCTCTGTAATCTCCTCCCTCCCCCTCTCCTCCACCAGTCCCTCCCAATCCTCCCTCCTTCTCTCCTTCTCCTCCTTCTCCCTCCTTCTCGTCCCTCCCTCACATCATTCACCCATACCCTCACCTCCCATAAAAAAACTGCACCTCTCAATACCTTCCTCCTTACTCTCCCTCCATCCTCTCCCTCCCTCTCCTCCTCCCCCTCTCTTTCCCCTCCCTCCCCCTCCCTCTCCCCCTCTTTACCTCCTCCCCGCCTCTCTATCTCTCTCTTCTCGTCTTCTCTGCCCTTTATTTCCGTGCCTGTCTATTCCCCCGCCCGCCGCTGATTTTTCGGCTTTTCTCGCTTTTTCGGCTTTTTTCTTCCGCGCGCCTCGACCCGCGTTCACCCTGCCTCGCCTCACGCGCGCGTGGCCGGTCCCGGCGCCCGCCCCTGCCGCTCGGTCTGTGCGTCGGGGTCTGCGCTGCTGGCTCGGGGATTAGCCATCGCTGCAGGCCCCCGCGGCCCTTTTTTTTTTTTTTTTTTTTTTTTTTTTTTTTTTAGGCTGGGGGGAACGCGAGAGGAGGAGAGAGAGAGGGATAGAGAGAGAGAGAGAGAGAGAGAGAGAGAGAGAGAGAGAGACGCGAGCGAGACTGAGAGAGAGAGAGAGAGAGCGCGAGAGAGAGAGCGCGAGCGAGGCTTGGGTTTCGGGATGGGGGAGGGGTATGGCTGGGGGAGGGGTGGGGGGGTATGGGTGGGTGGGTGGGAGGGTGGGGGGGGAGGGCCGGGCGGAGGAGGGAAGGCGGTAAGGTTGAGTAGGCTTATAGGGGTGCAGGCGCTAGGATGGCCGGCGCAGTAGGAGGACTAAGGATTGGGATCGGGTAAGGTAGGGGAAGGCGGGGGGTGGAGGGTTGGGGGGGGAGGCCAGATAGTGGGGTATGGTGAAGGCCGTGGGTCGGTAAGGTAAGAATGGAGGGGGTGGTGGGGAGGGGAGGGGAGGGGGTGGTGGGAGGGAGGGGAGGGTGGTGGTGGGGAATTGTTTGCTTGGAAATTGAATTCAATCACAGGCGAAGGGAAGAGCGATCCTTCCAGCGTCCTCTGTGCTTGAAATGTCTCGCTGAAGAGAGGGGGAGGGAGAGGGGGAGAGGCGGAGACATAGACACAGACGAGACGGACAGATAGACAGGCATAAAAAGACACGGACACATGCATACAGACAGACAGGAACAGACACAGGTAGTCAAACAGACAGGAACAGACACAGGCTTATACATACATGCAGACAGACAGGAACAGACACAAAAACAGACACAGACAGACAGAAACAGACATAGACGGACAGAAATAGACACAGAGACAGTCAGAGACACAGGTACAGACTGAAGAGAAAAGACATAAATAGAGAGAGAGGGAAGAACGAGAGGGAGAGGATGAATTACGAACAGAGGGAGGAGGAAGAAGAAACAGGACCGAACGGGGAAGAGGAGCAAGGAGAAGAAACGGGGGGGGGGGGAGAGAACGGACAGAGAGAAGAAGAAGAAAACGGACGAACAGTCGAGGAAAGAAATTAGGTCGTCCTTAAGGTTCATGACGCCGCTGTCGGTCGAGACAACACCGCCCCTAATGTTCCGCGAGACAGATGGCGGAGTGCGGATAGGGGAGGACGAGAGTGCGAATAAGGGGAGTAGAGAAAAGCAGGAAAATAATGGCACGGGAAGATATTTCACGTGTTTTCCATTTCATTAGATTTTTACTCCGGATTCCATGGTGTGTTGGTTTCGATAATGGGCATCCTTGTTGCGAGGAGGATGGAAGAAGAAGAGGAGGAGGAGGAGAAGAGGAGAAGGGGGGGAGGAGGAAGTGGAAGAGGAGGAGGGAGAGGGAGGAGAAGGAAGTGGAAGGAGGAGGAGGAGGAGAGGAAGTGGCAGAAGGAGGAAGAGAAGATGGAGAAGAAGAAGGGGTTGAGGAGGATGAAGAAAAAGAGGAAGAGGAGGAGGAAGAGGAGGGGAAACACTAAGAGGAGCAAGAAGATAAAGAACGGAGAGAAAGGGAAGGGAAAAGGAAGGGATGAGTAGAAGGATGAGAGGGGGGAAATGAAGAAGAAGAGGAGAGGAAGATGAAGAAAAGGAGTAGGTGGAGAAGAAGATAGAAGAAGGGAGAAGTATATCGGCGAAAGGGAGAAGAAGAAGAGTAAGGAGAAAAAGCACGACGGCAAGGGAATGGGAAGAGAAAAAGAGACAAAAGAGAGGAGAAGGGGAGTAGGGAGGGGGGGAGAGGATAGAGGGAAGGGATAGAAGAGAGGATAGAGAGGAAGAAGGGAGGGAGGGGACAGAGGCAGAGAGAGAGAGAGAGAGAGAGAGAGAGAGAGAGAGAGAGAGAGAGAGAGGAGAGAGAGAGAGAGAGAGAGAGAGAGAGAGAGAGAGAGAGAGAGAGAGAGAGAGAGAGGGAGGGAGGAGAGGAGGGAGAGAGGGGAGAGGGAGAGGAAGAGAGGTGGGGGGGGCGGGGAGGATGTGTGTGGAGGAGCGGCATATTACCAAACATAATTCAGCGATGAACAAAACATAAGGCAAAAAAAAAAATAGTGAAAAAGAAGAACAAAAAACAAAAAAAATTCTTCTATCTGCCCTCTCTCTTTTGTCTCCGGCTCATTTTCCCCCCTCTTCTACTCCCCTCTCATTGCCTCGTCAACGTGTACCAACTTTTTTTGGTTTTTCCTCTTCATGTTTTCCTCTTTTTCCTGAGTTCCAGCACTATGGACCGTCCGATACACCGAGAAAAGCTAAAACTCGTAACGGGAAAGGCCAGAACATCCTCGCATGCATTTTTTTTTCTTTCTCTGCTTCTCGTTTTTTAATTCCACATCGTTTTATATTGAGTTGGTTCAAAAATATTTTTTTTTAAAAAATAGATTTATGGGTTTCACACTTGATTGTGTTGGGTCCGCTCTCTCTTCTCCTCCGGATCTCTTCTTTCTTNCTGTTCGTCACTCTTTCTCTCCCTCTCCCTCTCTTTCTCCTCTCCGGTTCTCTTTCCCCTCTCCCCTTCTTCTTCCCCTCTCCTTCTTCTTCTCCCTCTCCCTCTTTTTCTCCCTTCTCCCTCTTCTTCTCGCGCCTCTCTCTCTTCTTTCTCCCCTTCTCCCTCTTTTCTTCATCCCTCCTCCTCTTCTTCTCCCTCTCCCTTCTTCTCCCTCTCCCTCTTCTTCTCCCTCTCCCTCTTCTTCTCCCCTCTCCCTTACTTTCCCTCCCCTCTCCCCTTCTTCTCGCCTCTCCCTCGCTTCTCTCTCCCTCTCTCTCCCTCTTCTTCTCCCTCTCCCTCTTCTCTCTCTCCCTCTTCCCTCTTCTTTCTCCCTCTTCTTCTCCCTCGCCCTCTTCTTCTCCCTCTCCCTCTTCTTTCTCTCTCCTCTCCTCTCTTCTCTCCTCTTCCCTCTTCTCTCTCCCTCTCCCTCTTCTTCTCCCTCCTATCCCTCTTCTTCTCCCTCTCCCTCTTCTTCTCCCACTCCTCTTCTCCCCTCTTCCTCTTACTCTTCCCTCTCTCTTCTCCCCTTCCTCCTTCCTTCCCTCCTTCCTCTCCGCTCTCTCTCTCTCTCTCTCTCTCTCTCTCTCTCTCTCTCCTTCTCTTCTCTTCCTTCCTTCTCTTCCTCTCTCTCTCTCTCTCTCTCTCTCTCTCGCTCTCTCTCTCTCTCTCTCTCTCTCTCTCTCTCTCTCTCTCTCTCTCTCTCTCTCTCCCTCTCTCTCTCTTCCTCCTCTCTCTCTCTATATATATATATATATTATATATATATATATAATATATATATATAGATATATATATATTATATATGTGAACGTCAATATTTCATAAAGATTTCTGGGTGAATAGATAGATGGCAGGACAGGTTATAAACATAAAGGTGACGAAGAGCCCTTCAACAGCCAAAGACAAAATCATACAACCCGACAAACGACAAGACACACAGACAAATGAAAAAACAAACGACAAGACAGACAAACGACGAAACAAACGTCCTAACAAGGCAAGACAAAGACATGGTAGATACAAACACACAGAACAACAGACCTTCCCGATAGACCACTCCAGACAGACAGACTCCCGACCGACAAACCTTCCCGACAGATCGACCGAACAGACTTCCTGACAGACTTCCGACCGATTAGACTCCCGACAGACAAACTTCCCGACCGATAGACTTCCACGACAAACCTCCGACCGGACTGACAGACTTCCCGGCCGACAAACTTCCCGACAGACTTCGCCGACCGACAAACCTCCCGACAACTTCCGACCGACAAACCTTCCCGACAGACTTCCCAACAGACAAACTTCCCGACATACAAATCCCAACAGACTTCCCGACCGACAAACCTCCGACAGACAGACTTCCCACGACAGACCACCCGACAGACTTTCCGACCGACAAACCTCCCGACAGGACTTCCCGACCGACAAACCTCCCGACAGGACAGAACTTCCCGACCGGAACAACCTCCCGACAGACAGACTTCCCGACCGACAAACCTCCCGACAGACTTCCCGACCGACAAAACTTCCCGACATGACTTCCCGACCCGACAAACCCTCCCGACGAGAGAGACTTCCCGACCGATCAGACCACCCGACAGATTCCCGACCACAAAACCTCCCACAGACTTCCCCGACCGACAAACCTCCCGACAGGACTTCCCGACCGACAAACTCCCGACGACAGACTCCCGACCGACAAACCTCCCCGACAGACAGACTTTCCCGACCACAAACCTCCCGACAGACTTCCCGACCGACAAACCTCCCGACGACAAACGACAGACTTCGCCGAACCGACAAAACCTCCCGACAGACAGACTTCCGACCGACAGACCACCGACAACCTCCCGACAGATTCTTCCCGACCGACAAACCTCCCCGACAGACTTCCCGACACAACCTCCCGACGACAAACTCCGACAGACAACCTCCCGACAGACAGTTCCGGACGACAACTTCCCGACAGGACTCCCGACCGGACAAACCTCCCGACAGACAGACTTCCGACCGACAGGACCAGACTTCCCGACCGACAAACCTCCCGACAACTTTCCCGACCGACAAACTTCCCGAACAGAGACACAAAGACAGACAGACTTCCCGACCCGACAGACCACCCGAAACAGACTTCCCGACCGACAAACCTCCGATCCCGACAGACTTCCCGACCACACAAACTTCCCGACACCGACAGACTTCCCGACCGACAAACCTCCGACAGACAGGACTTCCCGACCGACAAACCTCCCACAGACTTCCCGACCTCCAAACCTCCCGACAAAGACTTCCGACCGACAAACCTCCGACAACTTCCCGACCGACAAACTTCCCGACAGACACCGCAAACTCCCGACAACTTCCCCCGACCGACAAACCTCCCGACTCCCGACAGACAGACTTCCCGACCGACAAACCTCCGACAGACTTCCCGACCGACAAACTCCCGACAGACTTCCCCGACCGACAAACCTCCCGACAGACAGACTCCCGACCGACAGGACCACCGACAGACGACCGACAACTTCCCGACAGACTTCCCGACGACCGACAGAAGCTCTCCTACAACTTCCCGACCGACAAACTCCCGACAGACAGACTTCCCGACCGACAAAACCTCCCGACAGACTTCCCGACCGACAAACCTTCCCGACAGAACCTTCCCCGACCGAACACCTCCCGACAGACAAACCTCCCGACCGAACAACTCCCGACAGACTTCCCCGACCGACCAGACACCTCCCGACAGACAAACCTTTCCGACGACAAAACTCCCAACGACTCCCGACCGACAAACCTCGCCGACAGACAGACTTCCGAGAAACACCCACAGACTTCCCGACAGGGACAAACCTCCCGACAGACTTCCCGACCGACAACCTTCCCCGACAGACAGACTTTCAACCGACAAACCTCCCGACAAGACTTCCGCCGACGACAGACACGACAGACCCGACTTCCCGACCGACTTCCCGACACAAACTCCCGACAGACTTCACCGACCAAACCTCCCGACAGACATACCCCCGGACAAACCTCCCGACAGACTTCCCGACCGAGACAGACTTCCCGACCGACAAAACTCCCGACAGACTTCCCGACCGACAAACCTCCCGAAGACAAACTTCCCGACGACAAACTCCCGACAGACTTCCCGACCGACAAACCTCCCGGACAGACAGACTTCTCCACAGACAGACTCCCGACAACAAACCTCCCGACCCGACAAACCTCCCAACAGACTTCCCGACCGACAAACCTCCCGACAGGACAGACTCCCGAGAAACCTCCCGACCGACAGAACACCCGACAGACTTCCCGACAGACCAAACCTCCCGACAGACTCCCGACAGGACAGACTTACCCGCCGACAGACCACCCGACAGACTTCCGACCGACAAACCTCCCGACAGACTTCCGACCGGACCAAACCTCCCGACAGACAAGACTTCCCGACAAACCTCCCGACCGGACAAAACCTCCCAACAGACTTTCCCGACCACAAAACCTCCCGACAGACAGGACTTCCGAGAAACCTCCCGACCACAGACCACACAGACTTCCCGACCGACAAACCTCCCGACAGACTTCCCGACCCGACAAACCTCCCGACAGAACAGACTTCCCGACCGACAGACCACCCGACAGACTTTCCGACCGACAAACCTCCCGACAGACTTCCCGACCGACAAACCCCGACAGACAGACTTCCCGACCGACAGACCACCCGACAGACACGACAAACCTCCCGACAGAGACCGACAAACCTCCCGACAGACAGACTTCCCGACCGGACAAAACCTCCCGACAGACTTTCCGACCGACAAAACCTTCCCGACAGACTTCCCGACCGAACCTCCGACAGACAGACTTCCCGACCGACAGACCACCCGACAGACTTTCCGGACCGACAAACCTCCGACAGACTTCCCGACCGACAAACCTCCCGACAGACAGACTTCCCGACCGACAGGACCACCCGACAGACTTTCGACCGACAAACCTCCCGACAGACTTCCCGACCGACAAACCTCACAGACAGACAACCGACAGACCTCCGACAGACTTCCCGACCGACAAACCCTCCGACAGACTCTCGACCGACTCCCGACAGACTTCCCGACCGACAACCTCCCGACAGACTTTCCGACCGACAAACCTCCCACAAGACTTCCCGCCCGACAAACCTCCCGACAGACGACTTCCGACCGACAGACCACCCGACAGACTTTCGACCGACAAACCTCCCGACAGACTTTCCTCCCGACAGACAGACTTCCCGACCGACAAACCTCCCGACAGACTTCCCGACCGACAAACCTCCCGACAGACAGACTTCCCGACCGAACAAACCTCCGACAGACTTCCCGACCGACAAACCTCCCGACAGACAAACTTTCCGACAATCTTCCCG